CTTCCTCTCTGAAGGATGTACCTGCCCTCATGAGACGTGGTTAACCGGGGGTGTTTTTTTGGCCGAATTTTGCACTGAAACTGTCATATTGCCCTTTTTTTTTTTTTTTTTTTTTTTTTTTTTTTTTTGCGTGATATGTAGGTGCTTTAGGGTATGTCATGTGTCCAGTTTTGACATGATCGGATCATTAATGAAAGGCATTTTGTTGGATTCGTTGAACGCTTCATTTTAACTCAGAGAGTGTTTTTAACTTTTTATGTTAGGTTTTTGTAGTGTTTTTGTGTTCTCTTTTTCGGTATCTTTGGCCAGTTTTTTTTTTTTTTTTTTTATGTTTGCAGTATGGGCCGATATAGTTTATTTTTGAAATTTTTACTGAATTTTGCACCGAACCTGATGGCGAAACCAGCAAATTTCCGGCCCTCCGTTAATGAAAAACTTTGCACCATGACTGCCCAACTTCATGTACTGTGATCGAACAGGCACCAATATAAATCTCAAGGGAACGCTCAGGAAGGAACATGATGAAAAGCAAGACAATATCAAGGAAACCAAAAGCGATGATGCAGGTGGTATTGTGCAAGGGGGTATAGCTGTAGAGGATCTTCGCATCCAGGAGCATGGCAACAAGGACAGGCGGCATGAGGAAGTCCTCGGCTGTGATTCTGCACCGGACGTCAGTTTGAATGTGACTACCTCCATAGGGGAATGCAGAGAAACTGATTGCAAAGCCGAGGAAAAAGTTCAAATTGCAGCAAATAACTTCTCTACGTGTGAATTGGATAACAGGGTGGTGAACATCTCCTGGTGTGAACTGGAAGACAGGGTGGTGAACGTCTCCAAGTGTGAATTGGAAGACAGGGTCGTGAACCCCAAACATGAGCACATTGGCCCATATGAAAGACCTTGTGAATCCTGCCCCGTAGCCTGTGAGGCCCAAACAGTCCCTGGACAATGTTGCTCAACTATAGAGAAGAAGAATGTTAGTGATACACAGATCAGAATAAAGACGAAGGATATACAAGTTGAAGCAAACGATTTGCAAGTACATGGTGCACTGGACGGAATTAGCAATGTTGGCCAAGTGGAAATCGCCTCGGAAGAAACGGAAGGGTGTAATATGCAGACAGATGCGAATCCTGGTCGCAAAGTCTCTGATCATGTCGGTCAACAGTTGGAAGAACCCTCCGCAACAGCAGAAAAGTGTCAGTTGAATCTGACTACTGTAGAAGAGACTGCGCCCTTGAAAACAGTAGGTGCAGTTTTTCCTGATCTGTCTTCGTTTCCGAACTCCAGGGTCATCTCAGCAGGTTTTGTGACGTCTGGAGCGCCAAGCTTGGACATCGTCCCTGGCGTGCATCCGGTGGTTGGGATTTCATGTGACAGTGTGTCTGTGGGACAAAGAAAGGAGTATCACTCTTCTTCTGGAGTCTCAATTGTTTCAGTGTTGGATGTGACTTCCCTTGCAAGTGAGAAAGAGATTCAAACAGGAAATGCTTGCCAGGAACGAGGATCAGAAGCACCAACAGATGCTGTTACACCCGGCGAGGTCACAGTGGACCGACCTGAGGGAAATGTTGATGCAGCAAGCCATGCGTTGCCCAACCGGGACACTGAAGACAGTCACCCGCAGCATTCAATCAATGCGCCAGCCCAGAGCATGGGATCACTGAAAGGTGATAGGAAGTCGACCGTCGGCCTTTCAAGAGGTCAAGACTTGGTTGTGAGCTCCCCAGCAAAAGGAAATGCTGAGCTGCAAATTTCAGATGCTTCTGGCGAACCGTCTGTACGAAAGGGTAGAATGTTTATGTTCAACAATCAGAGCGATGATGGGGGTTCGGACTTCGATGTTAACGATGCTGATCTGCAAGAATCCATGTATAGGAAATTGTCCTTCGGTCTGCACCATAACCTGGCAGCTCCATGCGCCGAGTCGGAACACACGGCCCAGACAGCCCAGTGTAGCCCTCGCCATAAACCTAAGCCTGAGGTGATGTCAAACAGCAAAGAGGCAGTCACAGCTGACCTGGATACGGGGAGACAGCGAGCAACGAAGGACGTTCTGGACTCCAACCTGTCGCAAGCTGGAGACTGGCCTGAAACAAATGGGAAGAACAAGGATAAGAAAGATCTATCATCAAACAGAAGCAACCATGATTTGCAATCAGTTAACCCTCTGACATGTCAGCTTGGATGCCCTGCTCCTCTCACAAACACCACTGAAGAAGGATCAGATACATCTCCAGGAGCTTTCCCTGATATCTCTAATGCCCCACAGCACACTCATTTTCCAGGCGCATCATCGCCGAAGCATGTGGAAGAGGCTGAGGAATCTGTTAACGGAGTGAATGTCACAATACCAGCTGCACCAGCTCTCGAGGGTGCCAACAAAAAACAAGCGGACCTTCCAGTGGCTTGTGTAATTCACCAGCAGCAGCAGCAGCAGCAGCTGACCACAACCTTCCAGCCCATGGGGGAGGAATTTCTGACGAATTCAGAAGCTGGTGAAGGAAGGAACGAGGAGAAAGGCTTCCTGACTGAGGAAAGATGCAGTGCACAATTGGAGTTGTCCGTCCCAAGAATGCACTCGAATGAGCTTCCATGCAGCATCAAGAGAGTGGCAAGTGCTCCGGTATGTCTTGGGTTCGATGATGCTGACCATCCGTGCAAAAGGAGATGCATTGGCAATTTGGAGAGTAACAAGCTATTTGAGCATCAGCAAGAGCACGAGCCAGACGAAGGACATCAGAGCCTTGAGCAACAGCAAAAGGAAGGCTGGAATGCACACAAGCAGGAGGGCGTTGCTGACCATAAGCACGTGCATGATCCACTATTGATGAAGCAGTCACCAACATCAAACACTAGGGACACCATGCCGACGAGAGGAGCATGGGGAGCTGCTGGGGAGGGTGTAATGGGTGCTGCGATTAGGAGGGACCATGATTCAGAGGTGTTTGTAGCTGGAGAAAGACTGCATCAAGCGGAAGCACAAGTGCAGGGCTCTGACCCCGAGGTTGAAGATAGTGACAGTCAGGTTCATCATTTGGAAAACACTGAGGGAATAAAGGCTCCATCCGATGATGGAACTGCCAGGGAGAGTGAATTACGGCACGAAATGGATGAGGAAGAGCGGCCATCGGGGTGTAATTCCGAACAGACCATGTGTGCCTCAACACGCTGCAATAAAGTTTTAATGGAAGCATCAGATGTCACAGAAGGTCAGCTATTATCAAAGGATCATTCAACAGAGAACACACTGTCAGATAGATCAGGCAAAGGGGAGGAGATCGAGAAAGTAGGTTCCAAGGGGAAGAGTCAGGAAGGAGAAGATTTGCTCGCACAGCCAGATATTGATGACCAACGTGGTGGTACTACCCAAAACGACACAACAACCACATTAACGAGGTCGATCCAGAACAACAATGTACATGTGCATGAAGGAACAGCAGAGGACAGCTCAAAGATTTTCCTGACCGGTGGAAAATCCAATCATGAAGCCATTTTACTGGGCAATAACTGTGGCAACGAGATTATTATTGAAGGAGGAAAAGCTACAGTGATTGCACCGACGTACGGGCCTTTGGGAACAGAGGAGGATGGTCATGCAGGTGATCTGAACAACCAAGTCCAGGCAGAGAAGGAATCTGCTACCTTCAGAATGCCGGAATACACCCAAGTTAAGAAGGGCAACAATGATGATCATGCCAAGGATAAGAATAGTTGTGAGGAACAGGGTGGGGTGTTAACCACGGTAAACACTTCCTCTGGGTTCCGAAAGCCAGGTGGAAAAGAGAAAAGCTCCTCTTCTTCTGCTTACTCTGAAGGGAGAGAATTGCCTGTCGTCAATGAGGATGGCATTCCAGATGTACGGATGCTTCCTTCTGTTGAGATGGGTCCGCTATCCACAGACCAGGGGATAACAGTACTACCAACCAAATCAAGAGCGGCAGTACCGTCGACAGAGTCCATAGGGATTTCGATATCAACAGTGGCAGTACCGTCGACAGAATCCATGGGAATTTCAACACCTTTGTCGTTGAACCTTGGAGCTGACACAGCGAGAGTGTTCTTTACCGATGCAGACAATGCTCCACCTTCGTCGCGTCTGCAAGAACCTACAGCCCAAAGTTCAAAGTCAGCAGCACAATGCGCACTTCAAATATCATCGCATGCTGAAATCACTGGAGGAAATGACAGCAAATCACGCAGTGTGACCACAACATGTGCAGGCCTCCCACACACCACTTACCTCAACGGGATGTCATTCCACTCGGACCAAGCTGCTGTTGTGCTGCAACCACAAGGTCGTCTCATTCCGCCTAAGCCTGTGTTAGATGCGGACAACAGGATCCAGTCATCCTCCATGGATGTCAGCAGACATGGCATCGACAGTGCCAGAACTTTGAACTTCTCAGATCACCCGGCAGGTCCACTTCGGCAAGGCCCAGTTTGTCTCCTTCCAGTGTCCTGTGTCAATCCCACTTCCCAGATTACAGCACTTGGATCAAGGGCCGCCTTTCAACATTCTGAGCCAGCAACCCCAATTGCGGGTTATCGACTGCAAGAAGAGAGTGAAACGCAAATGAGACGAATAAGCTACCTGTCAGGAGGTGCAAGGCAAAGCACAAGGCCCTTGCTGAGATTTCGAATCGTTCGAAACACAGGAAATAAAGACACAGCAACCCCTGGCTGTGTTGGGCATTTGCCAGAAGGCAAGCTTGACATGACTGATCACTTACTTTCTGCAGGGCAGTCATGCAGTAATCCAAGTTTGGCCAGTGACTTGATCTCAGTGCAGGCCTCTGGTGACGACAAGGATGATCAGATGCGACAAAGAGCATGGGTCACACCCCTGGCTAGAGAGTTACAAAGGAAGGAAGATACCCTCAAGCGTGCACCGTATGGCTTGGCTCATGAGGTTCCTCCTAAGTCCAAAAGGAGGATGGGAGCTCCGTTACATCAGGTTGCTGTGTTGCCTGCTGCTCCACCTCAGATGGCAATTACACAGCACCCTGTTGTCTCAAAAGATAATGCTGCCGGATGCACTTGTGGGGACCCACCATATGGGTACATGGTGAGTTTGTCTGTATCCGTAAGAACTACTCAGTCGTTTGCTTGAGAAAAGATATCTTTTAAAACCCCACCACATGATTCTGTACTGCACTCACATAGAGCCCTTAACCAACCAGTCCTTTTGCATCTTTTGCCAGGTGCCTTGTTTTTCAATATGTTGATTCTGTTCTAATCTGGCTGCAGGCAGGTCTGGCGGAACCCCAGGTTAAGTATTCTTCGGTATGGGCATTCCAAGTTCACTCACCCTGTACTTTTTTCTGCACCTTTTCCTTTCCTCCCCTCTCCTCTTCCTTCTTTCCTTCTTGCATCTTCTTTCATTATTCTTTCCTTTTCGTGCTCCTTTTTTCTCTTCTCTTTGACTTCTCCGTTTTCTTCTCGTATATTCCTCTGTGTTGGACGATATCCAAAGAGTTCCCCTCAGTTTGCTTTCAAAAGTTCTCACCAGTTCGATGACCGGTGTTTGGCTCTGCCATGCCATAGTATCATCATTCAACTATGCCTGGTTCCAACCACAGTCTGCTACAGGAGCCTCCGAAAACCCGAGTGCGGGTTGGTGGTTGAATCAAGAAAGCATCCAGGTTTATGCTAAACTACTAAAGATAGTATAGAATAAAAAGAAACAGGCAGGCGCTGCTGGACTCTGAGACTGCTTGCGATCGTTAGGATGCTGAGGAGACTGTTGTTGAGTGCCTTGCTGTTCGCCGCATTGTAAGCACCCAGAACTGTTAATTGGCAAGTCATTAACTTAAGTTTAGAGAACTTTAGACCTGCTAAAGCTGAAGATGCAATAGAAAGGTTGTCGTAATTGGTACTAAGTGAGCGGTATTCAGCATGGAGGGAGTGGATCATCGTCACCTGGAAGCCCCTGAGCGCCTGGGTACGTAGAGTGTCTCTCTCGGCTAGAGGGGTCCAGGCGAACGAAAGCCCGCCTGTCACCGTCTAAGGAGTAACAACAGCTCACTGCCAGTGGTAGATAGTGCCAGGGTAGCGCTGCTGCTCTTCTTGGTTTGCGACATCTCTTCATGCTTGCCGGTGATAAGCAACCGGACTGTCGGCCCCCAGAATAGAAGGGACACATCTGTGTCTTGGGTTAAACCACCACTACCTCCGATCCTGTTTTACCGACCCTTTTTTTTTTTTTTTTTTTTTTTTTTTAATTGAACAGGTCCTTATTTTCCTGGCTCCTTATCCATTCTGGGGAGCGTCAGTCCGGTTCCTTTCCACCGGCAAGTCGAAAACTGGAGTACATGGTGAACACCCTCACGCTTCCTTCCGTCTGGCCGAAGGAACCCTGACCAGCATTGATTGCTCCTTGTAAGGAGGATTGACTGTCAGCTTGCCCTACCCCTTTTCCTCTCAGAGTCTCCTATGTCTCTGTCAGATATTCCGTATTTACCAAGAAAAGCGGAGAGATATTGCTGTTGGGGTTACAATCTCAGTTCGTTTTCCTCTACATCCCTGTCCCTGTGGTGTACCACTTCTTCCAAATCAATCTATTGTCCACCACATTGGCGATCTTCCCTTGTAAAAGCCAGTCTCTTATAAAAAATCGTCTCCTTGCGGCTATCCTTTCTGGTCTGCCTTTCGTGCTCACCGACACATCCCTCCATCTGACTCGAATCTATGTTTCCGCCATTTTCAGTAGTAGAGCCCACATTTCTTCTCTTGGGACCTCAGTTTCTTCGATTGTCTTGGTGCATCTCCTCTTCCAAATCACCCACAGAGCCAACTTTCTGAGAAGATGGTACCAGACCTCCTTTCCACCTTTAAGGTTGTTAGTGTTGATTGATAAGAGCAAGATGTTGAGGGGGGTCGTGGGCGGGGGGGGTGACGAGAAGAGGTTGTGCCACAGGTTGCACACTTTGTTCCAGATCCACTTTGCTTCCGAGCAGTACATTAGGCAGTGGGGTATGTCTTCGGGGATGTTAACAGAGCAGAGTTTGCACAGGTCGGTGCTGTTGGGGTCTCTGTGCTTCCTCCTCTTGTGGAGCCATTGGTTAGTGGGCTATGAGCCATTGCATACTTCGGATCCTAACTGGTCTAATGGATAGGAACTTCGACCACGGGATGGACACGGGGACCGAAGGGTCTAAGCTCAGAATTTCCCTCCATTTTTCTTTGAGTCTGGGATCCGGGTCTGTGGTTTGTAGGCCCAACTCATAACCGAATTTGACGTCGTATTCATCTATTCTTCTCGTTCTCCCTGTTTTGTCCTGTTTCCAAGCCCATTCCTTCGGATCGAGCTCTAGCTCAGAGATGCTGAGGTCCGGTCTGAAGAGTATCCAGGGTTTGTTCTTTGATACTCTCACTTTCCTCAGCCGAAATGTGTCTAGTGTCTCGCACTGGGGGTCTCTGTTCTGGATTTCCAACTCATTGGTGATGTGCTTGGCTACTGGGTAGGAGAAGAACTTAGATAGATAACCGGATGGGTTGGTCTTAGCGATGAATCTGTATGCTCTGGTAGGCTGAGTTTGGGCTATCAGTACCCAGTCCCCCGCTTTCCATGAGAAGTTCTCACTTAGGAGGGGGAGCCAGCGTGTTGGGATGCTATTTTGTATCTGCTTAAGGTTGTCAGAGAGGGTATGACAGCCTCTTAGGACATTGCGTAGTTCTTGGTCAGTAGCCCATCATCCTTGGTCTTCTTCCCAGATGTGTCTGACTTGCCACACGCCTCTTTCTACCCAGGAGAGCCACCTGCGGTCCTTGGAGCGTAGGGTCCATTCCTCTCCGCTGGGGTCGGTGATCCACGTGTTGCAGAAAAGAGGTTGTCTCAGGACTTCTTCTCTGTTTTCCGGTGCCCCGTGTTTGTTTGGCATCATTCTCCGCCAGGCTTTGATGGTGGGGGTCCAGTATGGRCTGGCTGCTGGAGTGGGGTTTGTGCTAGGYTGTGCGGGGTTTTTCCTGCGTGGTCTGCCCRATTTTATTGTCCAGCCCTTTGCCATGAGCCAAAACAGACCGTTCATGTTCGGGGGGGAGTTGATGGGGGCTAGGTTTCTGATGCTGTCAAGCGCCATCTGGGTCCACGGCGGGAATTGTCTAGTCAAGATCTTGAGGATCCATTTTATCTGCAATGCTATGGATTCCTGTTTGGGGTCGATGATCCCGAGGACCCCTTCCTGTGGTTTTCTAGTGATGTGGTTCCACGCCACCCTGTTTATACAGGTGGTCCTGTTAGGATCGCCTGTCCACAAATAACATCTCACCCTGCTCTTCAATTTTTTGATGTCGTCGTCAGGGGGGGACCAGATGGAAGCCATATACCACAGTGTGGAGAAGATAGTTGTGTTAATTAGTAACGCCCGTCCGATTAGAGAGGCCTGTGCGCTCTTGCATTGGGCCAGGCGGGTGATTGTCCTAGCAATTAGATTTTGGCCCATTCCTGACCATACCCCTTCCTTGTTGATCATGATGCCTAGAAACCTTAATGCTTGCTCTCCCGTGGTCCATGTCATCGGTGTGGTTATGTCTGATGGTTGAGGGGGGGTGCCCTCCGCTAGCCACCAACCTTCGGTTTTGTTCCAGTTGACCCTCATTTCTGAGGCTAGTCTGAAGGCTTCCATTGCCCTTACTAGGGCTTGGAAGGAGTTGTTGTTGGCGCGAATCAAGACAGTGAGGTCGTCGGCAAACATGAGTGCAGTGGGAAGGGCGAATTCGTGTAACGGGTTGGAATTCCATTCAGTGAGGCGATCGATGGATGGGTCTTTACGGAGGAAGGAGGCTATGGCTTCCATGATGAAAAGGAATATGGGAGGAGCCAGTGTGTCGCCTTGTCTGACTGATCGCGAGATGGGGTAGGTGTCGGATAGGATTCTGTTGACCTGGACTCTGCCTGTTGCGTCGGCATACAGTATTCTGACCCAACTCCTGAAGTACGGGCCTACCCCCATTTTTTCCATGCATAAGTGGAGGAAATCCCAATTGACATGGTCGTAGGCTTTCTCGAAATCGAAGAATAAGATTGCAGCTTTTATTCGGTTTTCTGTGATTTTTTTTGCTGCCTCGTTCAGGGTCATTACATTGTCTAGGATGTACCTTCCTGGGATGAAGCCTGCTTGATCTATGTGAAAGCAGCTGTTTGTTAGCTTTGTAATTATGTTCGCGAGTGCCTTGGCTAGGATTTTGTAGGGCGTGGTTAAGAGGGAAATGGGACTGTAATTCTTCAAGTCTTCTTTGTTTCCCTTCTTGTACAGCAGTGAGACCACACTGGTACTCAGTTCTTTTCCTAGGCCTCCTCTGCGCAAGCTTTCGTTGAAGAAGTCTAGCAGGTCTTCTCCCAGGGTCGGCCAAAAGCAACTCCAAAACTCTTTGGAGAGCCCGTCTATGCCCGGAGCTTTGTCATTTCCCATCTGAGTCAGAGTTGTGTGTAGTTCCGCCAGGGTCAGGGGTTCGTCTAGGTCTTTCGCCTGACTAGTCGAGATTGTCTTGTCGAGATATGAGAGCATTAGCTGTCGAGCTGCTGTGTTCGCTGTGGTCGGGGGTGATGGTGTCTTAGATTCGTATAATTCTGCGTAGAAAGATCTTGCTATCCTTACCATCTCTGGGCCTGTTGTTTTAATGTTCCCGGGATCTGTTGGATCCTGGAGAACTTCTATCATATTGTTCCTTGCGTTCGCTTTTATTTTGGCGAAGAAGAATTTTGTCATGGATTCATTAAGTGTGTAGTCCGTCATCCTCGCTCTGGTCTGCAGACCTCTCAGTTCCCATCTTCTCCACTCATTCAGTTCCTCTTTGGTGTCGTCGAGTAGTTCTTGATAAAATCTGTTGGAGGGGTCTTCTGCCAGATTTGCTTCTGCGACAGCTATTGCAAGTTGGAGTTCTTCCCTTCTCTTCTTGCGGTCTCTAGCGGTTTCTCGGGATTCCGCTGATACCGTCTGTGTTAGGTCTGCATAACTATCAATGAACCATTGATGGCTATTCGTCTGTTTGGATTCCCGTTGTTTGTTGAGGGCCCAGTTTTCTTTGACTGCCTCAGCCATTCTTCCGGTTTTTAGGAGGGAGTTGTTCAGTCTGAAAAACCCCTGGCCTGTTTCCACTGGTGCATTGAAGTTGAGCAGCAGTTGGATGGGCTTGTGGTCTAGCCCCTTGAACGCTGTTGATGGAAGGATTTTGGCCTCTTTGACTGTGCCGAGTAGGCTCTCGGAGATGAGGAAAAAGTCTATCCTGGACAGGGATGTCCGGTTGGCTTGATTTTTCCTTATCCGGGAGAAAACTTTTTTGGCTGGGTACAGTGATCTGAGGGGGTCGATGAGTTCAAACTTGGTCATCAGATTCCGGATCTGGGTACCTGCTCTAGTGGGTCCCATTAGTGCTGCTCTTGATATCCGGTCCAGGTTTGGGTCCAGGGTGGTGTTCCAGTCCCCTGCGATGACAACGGGCTGTGGTTTTGGGATTAGAGTTTTGATACTCTCAAAGAAAGTCAGTCTGTCGGATTCCGCGTTAGGTGCATACATGTTGATTATTCTCATGTCTTCTTCTTGCCATTTGATGTCCACCCATGACCATCTTCCTCCCTCGCTGTCCCCTTCGCTGTTTAGGATYTGTCCCTCAGTTAGGATTTTGGACGTTTTCGGGATGAGTATTGCCGTCCCTTTATTGCTCTGGCCTTCTTTGTTGGTCCACAGTGCGAAAGCACAACCTCCTAACATTCTCTCCATTTTTTGTTGTATCTTCTGGTGGTTGTGCAGATTGGACAAGTGGGTCTCTTGGAGAAGTATGAGGTCGGGTCTGGGGAGGTCTTTACTCACCAGGCTTGTTCGGATATCCCTTAGCTTGTCTTCCTCAGTTAGTATGTTGCCCAAGCCGTTGACGTTCCAGCTTACTACCTGGAGACCCTTAGCGTACCAGTCTATCCTTGGTGGGCGTTCCTGCCCGTTTCTGCTCCTTGCGGGGTTCTGCATTGGTATCTGTTTTTTTTGTTTTTTTTGTTTTTTTTGTTTTTTTTTTTGC